AGATAAACTGCAGAGATACTTCCAACGAGAGTGCTGAGTAATTAAACAGCTTCAGATTCCCAGTTCTGTGGAAATATATGAATGGCTAAAAGCGTGCAAACAGAAGTTTTTTTTTCCTACGTGTTTAAGTTACTCTTGTTCTCTCCTTGTATAAAATGTGAATGTTAGCGGGAAAAAGGACTGTGTTGTGTCTATAATGAAAGGTTCAGACTAATACAAGTTAAGTACAGTGAAGAACCTGCTCTTATCGAATATTTATTTGACAGAAAAACAAGTCATTGATAAAAATCTTCTTATCAATTGTTGTCTTTTTACTTGGACTATTTCTCTTACTGTGTTCGCCAAAGCTTTTCTTTCTTTTAATGAATAAAACCATCAGGCTAGGAAAAGAGGTAACCATGGCCATGAATCTGTACTTATAAAATAGTTAAAGAAAACAAATACAAGACTGAATCACCATGATTCGAATTTTGTTCTTACTCAAGACGATTTCACAGGTAGCTTTTATTTTTGTGCATAATTTTTAGACTTTTGAAACAAAAAAGAAAATTCAGTCCTTTATTATCCAGAGATCAAAACAAATGAGAACAATATTCAAGAAAATGAGGATGACTTTCGGTAAAGAATGCTTTTTTTCAAACGGAAAGAAAAAAACTTGAATGTCTGTCATAATCGGTTAATCTACATAGAAACAATAGAATCAAGTGGAGGGTGTGAGTATGTGGATGTGGGTGTGGGCCTGTAGTGTGGGTGTGAATATGAAAATGATGTGGGTGTGGTTGTGGACACCAGTCTTCTTTTCACCAACACCGATCATAACCAACTGCTATGCAGGCACCAAATCGCAGAAGATATTCTTCGAAAATCAGAATCACACTCCGATGACAGTTCATCGTCGGTGAGTACATGACACAAATTTAAACTTACTACAATACTTTTCTTATTCTAGCTTTCCAACATCATTCTTCCGACAAACAACAGAAAAAAGCATTCGAAAAACAACCAACAAAAATAATTCACCATGCAAAACCAAACTAATCCGCTACCGCAGAAAATATCACATATAAACAACACCTACTCGAAAGAGCCTCGGAAAACCAAGAGAATACTGAAACCGAAGCAGCACCGCTAACTATACCTCACAGGCCGTACTACTCTAACAACCTCACACATGAAAAAACCACTCGTTTCGCAACGAACTACCAACTCTAAATATAGAAATCATAATATATTTGCGAATATGTAACTGATTGATTTCGAGTCTACAACTAAAACGGAAACAGCTCCCTGAGAAGGTACAAAGCTCAACGATTCTATTATCCAAAAACGAGAGCACATCTGAGTGCAAGACCTCTCCACGCGCAGCAATCCATTTTCTTCGTCAAACGTATCTCATTCCGAGCAAGAAACCCATTCGTCATCCCAAGCGAAATCTTTCCTGAACGCCAATCGATAAGGACATAAAACAATTCTATGTAAGTCTTCGAGTGTCGCAACGGCTGCCACTGAACAGTTCATCCCATAGAACATTTTTCACCAATGTAAATCTGATTTATTAACCCAACAGTCATCTAAAGATGCAGATTTCAATCCTTTCTCAGACGAATATGTTTTTCAAAACGACTACCTCACCGCTCGAAACACACTCAATACAACGTACCCTGCATCATGTATCAGGATAAACATCCGGTCTGCGTTATAGCAACCCTTAAGAGGGGAAGAAAATGCCTTCTCTCTTTCAGATACAGACAAAAACGTGCAGAATTATATTCATTATCTCATCATAGTGTTTTCATCAACGGGCAATCAAACAGATAAAATAATTTTAAAAAGTTATCGTATACCATGTAAGTCACTACACATAGGGTGTTCATTATGTCGAACTTAGAGAAGAGAACCAAATACCTCCTCTCTCGCGGATATAGACAGGGACATGCAGAATTAAATTCTGGATGTGGGTGTGGGTGTAGATGTGCGTGCCGATCTGGGTGTTGGTGGGTGTGGGGTGTGACTTTCAATCGTTTCTTTACCCACAGCGACACCCTCACCTACTTCTACATAGAATTATTCAAGCTTGAAAAAATTTTATGAAAGATTATTTCTAGCATTTTTAACGATCAGTATTAAGCATATCTATTTTAAATTACGCACTATGAGAATTTTCGAGTTTATGTAGAGTTACAGGTTTTGACTAGGCGAATATTAGCGCAGCCTTTGTTATTGAAATTCTATACATTTTTCGAAGTCCTTTAATTGCTTCTTTGAATTTCACTGAGTGTTCATTAGAATTATGAAGCAGTTTTGTTAAGTAGTATATAGACAGATAAAGAATATCAGCTTCTTTCTAATGATGAAAACCATTGGCCGATAGCTGTTTCCATTGAAGATTTATTCGAAAAACAATCATCCACCTTTTATTTTGAAATGAATGTTAATTGTGATGGAACTTCATGTAGTCAAAATGATTCTTTTTTTGCCAATCGAATGAAGATCTCGAGAAATTGTATCACAAAAACTTCAGTCCGAGTTATTCATATAGGAATTTTTCAAACTATGTTGAGGTGTAAATTCTTGTACGTATACTCGCTTGGATACGACTGCGACAACAACACAATCTGCTAAAAAATTATCATGAACATATATTTGTTCGACGAAAGGAGTTCGAGTCCAAATAACTGACTTTTGAAAGATTTTTTTCTATTCTCCAACTATATGCTATTGTTATATATTCAACGCCTTCATCAAAATTATAATTTTGTGATTCATTGTTTGCATATGATGCAGTAACTAACTCTCTTGTTTCAAACCATTCTAAATCTGATGAACAATGATTTTCAAAAAAAATCAATTAGATCTTTTCTTGCTTCTAATTCTGCCCACATTAATGGATTTACTGCAGTTTGAGAAACATTTTTCGCTCTATATTTTGTTAGTAGGCAATTCAGCAACATGAAGTGAACCACTATCAGTAGCATAATGTAGCGGTGTTCGATCATCTTAATTATATTCATTCAGATTGTATTCTAATTCGTCATCGTATTTCATATGTGTATGTTCTTGAAAAGCACTTAGCATTAAATTACATAGTATAATTTCCATTTCGAACCCGTCTTATATCAACATCATTCGTACAATTAAATAACGAATAATAACAAGATCACCTTCATTTTCTTTTTTTTTATTGATATATATAAACAAAATATTACAATTGGATAAAGAAATTTTTCTTTACAACACAACAAAGGAAAATAATGGTAGAACTTTTCTGAATATATCATTGGTGGTGAATCAAAGATAATATGTTTTATTTTTGAACAATTAGCAAGAGCAGCATTATTTGTGAAATTCTCTGTTACGATCACCAAGTCTATATATTTGATATGCAATGTGTTAAGATAAGGTAAATGTGTGTTGAAGTGAAAAAGAAATTGTTTCACATAGTCGACATCAAGTATCATAAAATGAGAAAATTCAATAATCGAAGATATTTGTTCATGTGCATCATGTTGATGTGTTGACTTCTTCTCTTGTTCATTTTTATTAAGTACTGTCAATTTGTTTAGTAATGGAAAAGCTTGAGAGATTCGAACAAAGAAATCATACTCAAATGGACGATATAAATCATGCGCCACTAAATGACGAACACTCATAAATAAACCACCAGGAAATTTCCGACTATGTGTATCAATGCGTTCCATAGTGAACGGAAGTGAGTAAATATGACATTGACCCATGGTAGATTTGGGATAGTCAATATAATAGTTCATCTTATATCCTCTTTGGATGAGCATACGTCCAACTTCATCAGGTGTTGGCAAAAGTTCTGAGTTCGGTGTGAAAATTTCAGTGATGATATTGAAGATAAAGGTATGTAGATATGACATGTTACTAAGGATATGATTAACCAGATGATTTCCATCAATGAATGAAATTCGACCACAAACCATATGGGATAACGTAAGTTTCTCTAATTGTGACATTTGACGAAGCAATGGTAGAAATTTGATTATCATAGTTGTGTATTCGACGAAACGAAGTCAACGAGAAACATTTTAGATTAGATAGTATTCTCTAAAAGAATTACAATAAATATAAAGTGATGTTAAATTGATAATTCAAACAAATGTAGATCTAACCATAAGATAATTAAATATTTGGGATCTTAATCATATTCCATTTTATCCATGAACTATCAAATTAATATTTGATCAAATATATTGATACACAACTGTGAATAACAAGATCTACTCATTTAATAAATGTTTCTTTATGCTTTCATAGAAAACTGGTGAAACAACAAATAGATTTTGATATTCAAAATGGTTTATCAAAATATTAAACTTTCGGTATGAACTCTTAGAGAAATATTTTCTTATTACTCAATGCTTGGCTTCTTGATTTGATAAATTTTTACAATATCTATAACAGTGCGATAGAAGATCAAGTCTTTAATACCATTGACAATGGTATAGCTTTTTTTTTCATCGAAAGCAATTTTGAAATTCTAAAAAATAGAATGAAAATGAAAACAATGTAGTCTCATACTAATATCAATCAGATTATTATTCTTTAGGAAATTATTTGATCCATGTGAATAAACTCTTTGAAATTCATTGTAGACGATTATCAATAATATTAGACTTATATACTCTACAAAAAGTCTCATAATAATATATATCTGTTTGTATCATGTGTTCTTCTAATATATTTATTATTTGCTTTTTTTTTTATTAAAATCATATTCATTCGAAAACGTTTTTAGCTACCGATTTCACATTAAACCAAAAAAGCTTATAGAAGACAATATCAATAATAAGCAATTTAATAGTATCGTTCTCATTTTTTTGCTAAGTTACATATTATCTCTAATGATATTTATTATAAAGTAATATTGCTAAATATACTTTGTTTCTTTAAATTCATTCATATTTTTACTAATCTATTTCTCATCATACCAGTGCTTTATTTCTTTATCAAAAACTCTATAGGAAAAAACTATTTCACCGTAACTTAAAATATTTTACCGTATTGTTGATAGTCATTGAGGTTGTATTAATCCTATCAATTTCGACAATAAATGTTTGTAATTTCCAAAGACGTCCATCAAGTAAAGAAAGACAATCGTTAAAATTGCGCACTCTAACATTCAAATAAATAATATTTGATGGATAACATGTTGTAGATACTAAATCAATAAGTGAAGTTTGTGGATAGCGGCAAATGTCTTTTAAACTGAAATGAAGATCAGTTAAATTTGTAAACATCGTAAAAATAGTGGTGAAAACATTTGTGGATAATTTCCGTATATATTGAGCTGTGCTGTTATCATTAATTGTAACAGTAAGATGTGAAATCTTATGTTTGAAAATACGAACAAATGATGATTCGTCTAAATATATACAATCAATTTATTAATCGACCTAGTTTACTTTATCTTGAAGAATAAATGAAAAGACGACATACCATTGAATATACCGGCGGCCACTTCGAGTTGAAGATTAACAAGAGTTAGTTTATGAAGTTTAGAATAATTTTCAGTGCAAAGAACACCATCAATTGACAATGGATCAAGAGTAAAACATTCAATATTGTGTTGAATTTGAGGTATTATATCAGAACAAAATCGATCAAGTACTGACTTGTTTCTTGAATCATCATGCTCATTTGATAATATTGTTACTAAATCAACAGACTGTGTAAAAGTAATGTCCCGCGCCAATCTATCGAGTTTTCGATTGACTTCTATGAATGAATACAATACATCAGTATTACTGAGTTTGTTCAGAATAGTCAGCAACATTTCATCAGATAGATCAAGAATATTAACGGTAGAACAATTCATGTCTGATGGTATGTAATAATACACCACGATGATATCTATCTATATATATGCATATTTATTTATTTTTTATCACGTCCGACATTGCGAGCAACGACAATGTTAAATAGTCCATGATGAAAATCGTAACTTCTAATGACAGGCAAATTTCCTCGTAGAAAGTGTTATTTCAGTGTATCCAAAAGCAAAGAAAAAATGAGCACCAGTAACGTAATGATTTTTTTCTTTCTTTCCTTCGTGCGTATAACGAAATATATCATTTCACTATGTTCGAAAACGCCTCGGCTCAATACTACTCACAGATGAATCATTAACGTTCCGTCAGTCATTAAATTACCAATAAGAACTAAACGAGAGAACTACCCGAGGTGCTAAAAAGCTTTTTCGACTGAGTATATGATGGTCAGATAGGACATACCTGAGAGTGATATACCCTAAGTTAGTTCGAGCTCGAATTTCTTTTAGCAGAAGTAACTAATTTTTCAAGTTATACACTGAATAGCCAGTTTTACGTCTGAAGCTTACTTTTCTCGAACAAACAACGATGTAATGGACGAAAAATTTTGTTATATCTATCTCAGTTGATGATTTTGTTTATTGTAAGTTGCAGTTTAAAAAGACAAAGATGTAAACATTAAAGAAAAAGAATAAAAAGTAGATAAAAAAATCATGAAAGTCTGATATGTGTTTTCAAAAGTCAGATATTATGAGTATTATAATTAATGAAAAAATCTTGGAAACATAATATCTCGTTACAATAGGCACATCCAATAAACACAAACTGATCGCATGTAGGCAAATGCAATGATCTTGTTTAAACCCAAAGCACACTTGCATTACTGTTTGAAAAGGTCGAGGATCAATATCAGTATTGGTTACAGTAAGCATGCCTTAACAACAGCACTGACTGGTAAATGAAAAATAGTTTCTACTACATTCTCTCTTTTTTTCCTTTAATATTCACATATTTATCTTTTTAAACTGCAACTTACAAATAATCAAAATCATTAACTAAGATAGATATAACAACATTTTTTGGTCAATTTTGTCGTTGTTTGTTCGAGAAAACTAAGCTTTAGATGTAACACTAACTATTTCGCTTACAACTTGAAAAATTCGTAACTCCTGATAAAATCTACTTAGGCCCGAAAGAACTTAGGATATATCACTCTTAATAATGCCCTATCTGACCATCATATACTCAGTCGAGAAGCTTTTTAGCATCTCGGGTAGTTCCCTCGTAAGTCAATTCATCATCCGACACTATTTAGAAATATACGATCTGAATCGACTTCTCATTTTATAGAATTGTCTCCGTTTTAAAGAGTATTATTGACCATTCAACGAAAAATATATCATATCACATGTATACGCACTCACTATATAAATAAGAGAAAATGTAACTTGCAAATAAATACATAAAAAAGGCCTCAGAGAATAATCTATAAATACTAAGTTTTTCAAGTAAAGAACTGTAAATTACAATCGAAAATAACTACTATTTCGACTTAATTAAATCTACTGAAGAATTCAAAAAAAGTCAATCAATTTAAAAAGGTTCATAGTTATAACTATGGTTGATAGTTATAATTCCCACAGTGTCTAGAGTGAAGTTAGAAAAGTTGTGTAGTGACTAGTGCCAGGTGTGACTCACCGTAGTCACGGTCACGGTCTTGACCGTAACCAATATATTTTTTAAGCCGTGACCGCCACTTGAGTTTGATCACGGGCAGTGATGGGTACTAAAATAGTCGAGAACATCCAGGGATTCAGCACTGAGGAGGAACAGGGAAGATGAGTGTTAATTTCAAAAATGAATTCCTATAATTTCTCTTCAGTATTCAACATTGTTTTTTTAAATAAAATTTCATTCATTTTTGAACTGAGTTACAAACAATGGACTAATGATTTTTCTGAGAATAAAAACTACACTACATTTAAGCTGTCTGATGAATACGAAATGATCTCAACGGAAACTATTTATCGAAAATATGGCCGAATTTCTGAAGTTCAATATGCATACCATGAAAATGATGATGGAGAAAGGAAACATTATCATATAAACTGATCTCGACAAGAATATGAACTGGCTACATCAAAACTGTACAAAGGATCAATGTCCTGCGATAATTTCATAAAAGTATTACCCACGTTCATGATGGGAAAATATGCAATTGAAGATGTGCCTGAAGCATTTCGTCTACTTGATATTGACCGTTCTGGCACAGTCGATATCACTAAATTACATGAATTTATATGCGTCAGCCTGCCAATAGCAAATCCATATGTGCTTCTTCATCAAATACAAAAGTTCGATAAAGATGGCGACTACAAGCTGAATTTCAATGAATTCAAAGCATTTATTGCGGAAGGTTTTGGTCGAGATGTATCATGTGGGATTATTTAGAAAATCGATTCATTTTTTAATTCTTACTATGATAACTAAGAACTTCAATAACTAAACTGTAGCTTTGTATTGCTTTTTTCTTCGTTTGTATCGGTGTCAATAAAAAAAGGCTTGAGTCAATATTTACATATGATAGGTCTTAAAGATTCTTGCTTCGTAATTATTATAATTGGGCTCTTTTGAATTAATTCTTTAGACTCTTGAGAAATGCACAAAACTTCGTCTATCAACAACTGAATTTATAAGCTCGTATAGAAACTTCAGCTAATGAAAAGGTTTCACAGCACAAATTTTAATACTTGTTTTTTTTTTAATTTCTTATTCACATTCACAAACCACTGAAGTTTGACTGAAACTTTCTTTTTGATTTAAGAGTTGGGTGTGGGTTGTGATCTGGGTGAAAATGCTCTCTCCTATACCCATAGCCTCGTTAGAACTCTGACAAATGCAGAACAAATTACTGTTTATCATTTTTGTTGAATGAAGAGCTAAATTGAGATTCGATATACGAAAATAGGTCTGCCATGATATTTTGTTTGATGAAAACCGATTTCAAGCGTTACACGTTTAAAGACTTACGTTAGCTCTCAATGACCAAAATTAGTGTAATGCACTTTGCTGAAGTCTTATTGTTTGATTTGGGCTTTTGAGATGAATCGTCTTTCGGTAGAATGTACCTGCCACAATCCTTTTTCTCATATTTTATTGTAGTTAAATGACAGTCATGGTCTTCAGTACCTTGACGTCCCACGAGACCCTCACGATTCGGCTTTTTCTGATTTTGATATAACATGTTTTGTTCTTGCTGTTTCTAAAACAAAACCAAACATGTAGCAACATGTTTTCCTTGAAAAACAGTAGTCAAGTACTCACTCTAGTTATGGTGCTTGTTGAAGGAACAATCAGTACTAGATGACAAGCTTAACGTAATTAGTGCCAATATATGACAAAAATATTTCACCTTCAATATTACTCACTTACGGCCTTGTGACCACTATAAATTCTTTTCAAAAATGAAGTTGCTCGTGAAATAAAATGAGAAGTCATATTCATTTTATATGAGACTTAGTTTTCGTATTATATCATGTTGGAAAAACATGAAGTACTTCATTCTCGAGGCATTTTGCCGCATCAACATCCAGCAAGCAATTATTTAGTCTTATTGTGCCTATCCAGGTATTAAACTGAGGAGTAACCGATCAATTATTACTTCATATGTCTTACTGAAGGTCGAGACATTAAAGCTTCAAGTTGAATTATAATCAGCATAACTTTTCGGTTCGAATACATGTGATTGTATTCCTAGAAACTTGCACCGAGTTTTCATGAAGCAGATACTCAATAAGCACATTGACGAAGTTGACAACGAACCCGAGAACGCTCGAGTAAGTGCAAGTGTTACCGAAGAAAAGACTCATACACCAACGTCCACATCTTATGTCAAACGGTAAATCTAGATTATGGATGTGGGTGGACCAGTTCTTTATAGTTGCTCCGATTATTATCGCAAACAACATAATTCACTTTTATTTAACCAAAACTATGATACAAAATGTAGTGATACGTGTGACTATACTAATCAAAACTCCGATATGTAGATAATAGTGACACAAATTTGAGTCAAATAAAAATTGCTCTAAGTTATTATATTAAACACATATTCAATAAAAGAAACTTTGTTTCACTTCTTCTTTCACATAAAGTCAAGAATAAAATGAGATCTATCTCAAATCTCGATTATTAAAGCAAGAACAATTTAATTTGATTGATATATCCATAGGACAGAACATACGTCAGATACCATTTTGAGTGAATTTAGCAATATTTTTATTAATGTTATTGTGAATATAATCCCAACAGAATATACTAACATAAAAAAAAGCGACTAACTAAACGTTTAGATCTCAGCAGCTATCGGAAATGTTCTAATGCATAATCAATAGAAATAGTGTACTATCAAGATTAACATATTGCAACACATTCTATTGTAAACCATGGCCATATTTCTCAAGCCATTTGAGTTCTTCACGAACTTTGATTTTTCCATGCCAAGGATTATTCTGTAGTCCGTGTCCTTCTTTTGGAAAAACTAATAATTGTACAGGTATTCCTAAAGTATAAAGTCCACGTTCTAAAATATAACTTTGATCTGCATCCACTCGAACATCATCTTCGCCAGTAATTATATGTGTTGCTGTACGTACACGATCTAAATGATAAATAGCTGATTGGTTGTTGTATATTTCTGGTACTTCCCACGGAAATCCTCCAAACAAATAATTTAAAAGCAACGGTATATCCATAGTACCCCAAGAAGAAACATGTTCGACTGAACCGGCACCAGATAACGCAGCATTGAAACGTGTAGTTTGTGTAATCAACCAGTTTGTTAGAAAACCACCATAACTATAACCACCAACATTCAACTTCTTTGGATTAGCTATGCCATCTTTAATTAGATTGTCAACTGCTGAAAGAATGTCTCTTTCTGGTCGAGACAAGGGTTGAAAACGAATATCGTTAACAAATTGATCACCATATCCCGTCGATCCACGATAATTGGGTTCGAGAACTAGCCAGCCTTTAACAGCTGCTATGGGAGCCCAATTATACCAGTTTGCTTCAAATGCATTAAGACTCATGTCGTATGGGCCACCATGAATGAGAACTAAAAGAGGTAATTTTTTAGATTCGAATTTTCCTGGTGGATAATGTAAAATTCCTTCTATTGTTTGATTATCTAGATCACTTTTCCAAGTGTACACTTTAGTTTTTGGCAAATGTCGTTTAGTAAATAGATTATTTTCGTTTGTTATTGCACGCGCCGATTGAATTCGATTAATATCATCAATAATATAAACTTCTTTCGGTTTATCGAGAGACGAATAAACGAATGCAACTGTACGTGTTCGACCCAAAGATGATGAAATAAGATGATAAGTACCATTCCATCCATGACAATCAATTGTGTTATCTGTTGATGATCGTTGCGTATAAACATGAATTTCAGTTCCTAATTGGCCAAGTATATAAACACCACCATTAGGATTAAGTATATATCCGAAAATATTACCAGAAAAATCTTTTACCAAACGTTTAATGTGACCAGTTGTTAAATCTAAGGAACTTAGTCGTCGGTGTACATCAGCAAATTCTTCTTTTTGATTCACACTACGACTGTGCTGTCGAAAAAGAACGTATTTTCCATCATTTGACAATGTTAATTGTGTTTCAAATAAATTATTTTTCGTCAATCTGGATATTATTGTTGAATTTTTAACATCAATTGAATATATTTCAAAATTTTCCATATATTCAGTTAGCCGTGATAATGACGTAAATACAAGCTTTTGTACAATAGAACTAAATAATAGTTCGCCAATTAGGAAAGGAACATCTCGAATAGTACGTATTTCCATTAATGACATTTGATTTTTTCTTTCGAAAACAAGACAATTAATAGTACTAACATAGTCATGAATGCTCTTTCGATAGTCAATTACATCTTTCCATTCGACTTGATCGTCGTCTGTGTTTTTTGTTTTAGTCGTAATAAAATAAATAGATGAATCACTATCGGACCATGCTAAAGTCGATGGCATTTCGGTACCAACTAAAACTGGTAACACTTTCTTGGATTTAATTGAATATAAATATATAAATTGTTGCTTTTTTTCAATATTTTCGAATGAACGTTGATCACGCTTATATTGTTTTGTAGTAGTCGTTGTTGCACTCTCGGTTCTCAAGAAAGCAATCCAATTTCCACTTGGTGACCATTGTGGTTGTGAAGATCCACCTTTGTTTATTACAATTAGATTTTTTCTTTTCGTTTTTATTTCATACAACCAAAAACTATTATCGTAGGTGCTCGAATTCCAATCTGATCGTAAGGTTTCAATAAGTAAATATTTACCATTTGGAGAAAAGCTCAAAGATACAAAATCTGTATAATCGAAAAATTCATCAAATGTTAATTCTGGTTTTGCTGCAATCAACGAATATAATAATAGTTTCAAAAAGAATAAGACACATATGAACATTATTGCCTATAATCTAAATGAAAGAATAATGAATCAATTTTATTTTTTATGATGAAATCGGTTTAAAAACTAATGAAGTAGCTCTAAAACAATCTATCTTGTACCGTTCAAATGGCTTTATGGCAATCCGATAAAAAAAACTAGTGTCATTTTATTCGTTTAGTTTCAATGCAAAATTATCGACAACAGAAGAAGTAATTAAAATAGTGATTCTCACAATTATGTTTTATTTTACATGATATCAATCTTGATGCATTGATATGTATAATATAGTATCGTCGCTGAATTTTAACTTTTAAAATATCGTTTTAATGAAGTGGATTTCAAATCATTCAGAACTTTGATATGTCGGACTAAATCTGCAGTTTTTTTTACTTAATAGAACGACATTTTGTTTTCAGAGGAAAAATATTGATAAGACCATTTCTTTTGTTCAAAATACTTTTGAAAGAAAGAATTATATATTCTGAATCAATATGAAATTCTGAGTGAAATAAGGTACTTTTTTCTGTGGAAAAGACTTTAGTCAATCAGAGTCATGTAAAAAACGCTTGTAGCACAATTTCTACTGGATTAAAATGTGAAATACAATATATTCGTCCAACTCATAAACGAGATGTTAAAGAACCATATCTATTGTTTACCTGTCTGTAAATGAGTGATATATTTTCATGGTCTTTTTGAAAAAAACTGAACAACATGCTCAAGTAATGAAAATACTGAGATGAATTTGATTTTACAGTAGATGATGACGTGTAAAGAAATAAAATAGTTTTTTGCTCGATGGAAATTTCATTATCTTCGAATATTATTGTGATATTCGAAATCAGCATCAAATTCTTCATATGATGCTATTGCTTCGACAGAATTAGACACAAACAGTTTTCTTCGATGATTTTGCAGTCTTTTCCACTGTAAAAAATGCCTTATTTTATTGAGAATTTCATGGTAGTTCAGAATATGGGATTATTTTTTGAAAAATATTTGGAACAAAATAAATGACATTCTTGATGCTCCTTTAGTGGGGGCTCGCTACCAAATTTGTTTCATAGATAAAGATTCTCACGTGAATCAGCATAATTGTAAGACTAAATAAGAAATCCAGTTACCTTTAACTTTGCCTTTTTCACTAGGTATAATATTGAAAAGCGATTTTTAAATCGATGGCCACTCTAACTACTATGTACTATTGTTATTATTTCTTGTCAATAATCGTCAAGGAACTTATAGTCGGATTAAGAACAAAGGCTCACACTTTATGTGATATTTCTCTAGTATTGTATGTGACTTTTTTTGTTTAATCCTTTCGATATTGGCAGGTGCAGATGTTTGTAACAATCAAAAGGACTCATGATTTCTAGTTTAGAAATGAAAAGCGAAATTCATCTTAGAATTAAGGCAAATAAACGAATATTTCTGTTTTAATCTAGTAAAAAGATTTGTTGCCACCATTTATAAATATGTAATTGAATACAAAGGTCAATGGGAGATATTTTCAAATTTAGAGGCGTCATGAAAATATAAGTTTACGAGAATCTTTTACAAATAAGACAGATATCAAGATTCGGAGAGCATAATCTGTATTAGATCGAAATAGATATCTAACAGAAATTGATAAATATTCATTGTTTTTTTTTCTTGTGCAGAAATCTATAAGATATTTGTTGCTAACTATAACATTTACTTTTTCAAGTTTTCGACTCATACTCGGGCTTTTCTTGTTTCTTCTAGTCTGTATCGTAGCAAGAAATTGGAATAAAGCTGAATAGGCAGCGAATCTGTTAGAAACCTCGAATAAGATTTAGTAAATCATATTGCACGATTCTCTGATTAATTGAATGCTATAATTCATTATAAATATGTTTTAAAAACGATGTCTGAACAATAAATCATTGTTTAAAATAGTCAGTAGTGGTCTGTAAAAATGCCCTAAGCATATTCTAATTTGGAAATTTGACGATCGTTACTGCTTGTAATACAGTAATTCAGGTTTCATTCAATGTTGAAATGGATATTTTGATATTGATGAATATAATGACGTGCTGAGAAGTATACATAAAACAAGAACATATTGACAAACATAACATTTCAACTATCATCACGGATTGGTTGTATTTGAATATGTGTCATCATTATCAATATTTTTAATAAGATTTATTATTTTAAATATTCAATGAAAATTATATTCAATATTAATGGAACAATTATTTATTTCATTTATTTTTATTAATGATGAATATAATATCATTTAAGGATCTTGATCAAGTCTATCAATTTATTTTCATATTTTTCATTAATCTATATTCTTCTTCATTTATTTCTTCGCGAAAAATTGATGAAAAGAGTTAATTTAAATAAAAGACTTTATCGATGAAAATCTTTATTATCTAATATACAGCGCTATATTTTTATCAATTCTTCTTGATTAGGTGTGGATGTGGATACTGTTGAATGGAAGAAAAAAAAACCACACTCACATCCCATCCAAAACTGGAAAAGCTCTTGATAAATAGAAAGGCTTTGCTCAACACCTGCCACGTTACGGTCATATTTTAGCAACAAAAATCTATACAGTTTATCAATAACGAGAACAATACTAAAAACTGGTAGCTAATCCTCTTCTACAGGGTGTTTATGGCTACATCACTCAAATTTGGGTATTAGTATTCATTTCACATGTACACTCTCTGGTGCTCGAAGTCCAATGAAAAAGCAGTGAAATTGGAACATTCCCATACCGAGAAATTTTTCAATAATGCAGCTGAATGTTGGAGAAATTATATTAACCGTCGACTGTCACCTGTGTCAATTAAACCCATTCGGTGAAAGAAAGAAAGGAAGAAAGTGTTTTTTTTTCTTTGGCATAAGACAAAATTCTGAGAACACATGACATATGCCATGCTTACAGTGGAAAATTTTTTTGTTTAAGTTGGAACAATTCAGAGAATGGTATATATATGATCAATGAGCTTGAATCAATTAAAGAAAAACAAAATCAATGCTCGACAAAAATCCATCATCACTTCTTTCTTTACCAGTCGAACTTCTTCATCATATTTTTGATCATCTTGATGTGCAAACAGTCCTACTTGCACTCAGTTCTGTATGTACCCAACTACGATCAGTGGTATATACATACGAAAGATACGTGCTTGACTTAAGATCGATTTCTAAAAATGATTTTTATCATATATGTTATTTTATTCGTCCTATAAATGTTATTTCGCTAATTTTATCTGACAACGAAGATACACCTGGTCAAAGTAAACTATTTCTCTCCATTTTCGACATCCGTCAATTCATTCGGCTTCGATCATTAGCTTTGTTTCTCAATGATGATGACAATCTTGGCACTATTCTAAATCATGCAATCAACTGTTCTCTCAATTCTCTCGTCATTGAACGACCATGTACTCAGACTCATAGAAATACAACATTAAATGCTCTTTCATCAATCATGACAAAATGCAGTCTTAGAACACTCACATGTACAATTGATTTATTGTCAGCAGATAAATTTAAATGGCCTTTACAATGTACTGTTGAACATATAATAATTGATCGTTGTATGCGCAAACAATTCTGTCTTATTCTTGATAATTTACCTAATCTTCGCACTATTATCATTCACAATTTTAATTTGGATATCAACCATGAGTGTAATTATACACCAACACCACATCTGCAACTAACTTCGCTTACAATGAAACAAGTTTTCTTATCGATGGATAAACTTGAGTCATTTTTTTATTGTACACCTTCACTCGTTCATTTACGACTTGAAGGTTCGGCAGACAACAATTTATTCGATGGGTCTCGATGGGAAAAATTGATTCGAACAAAATTACCATTACTCAATCATTTTGAATTTTGCTTTCGTTCTCAAAATTCTCGTATTATTAAATTAAGCACAGTTGAATTTCGAACCCCATTTTGGCTCGAAGAAAGACGTTGGCCTGTCAACTTTATCTATGATACTTCAATGGAAGAACTATTAGTATGTTCAATACCAGATTTTCTTGAGGAACTTGAATATCAATTTTGTGGTCCCACTATTGTATCTACTACTATGCACAATAGTACGATAACCATGGCTCATGTAAGTTGACGAAATATATTAACTAGATGTAGGAACCTTCGGTATTTCTTTCTCTTATCCCTTCAACTCATAATTAAATCATATGCTAGAACAGTACTTCATAAGTATGTGAAAAGGAACTTCGAAAAAATTTTCACAAGTAATTTTCTGCAGTATTCAAATACAAAATCATAATAAAGTTAGATTCTGTTCGTCATGATTTATAGAGACTTTTTTCTTCCAAATCTGCTGTATTTACAAAAACGAACTTGTCGACTTTTCTAATGTATTAATCTAATTAAATCAATTGTTGCCAAGGTAGCATGATTCCAGTAAAAGTGAGTTTTAACGTCACGTTTGTCATGCGAGAATCTCTCTATGCTATAAATGCAGACAGTTTTCTTTCGATTAGAACAGTAATCTGAAGTAGATATGACAACCTGTACAGACGAACCTCTAATATTTTCATCCAAATTCTGATTTAANTCGTATTGGTATTTTAATACATAACAGATTTCACTACTAGAATAGGCCAACATCAGGAATAAAATCAATCAGGATGAAATTTTAGAGTACTATTACGAGAACTTTTTGACTACCCTATGTATTTTAGTTATAAATAATTTAAGCTTAATTTATCATTTATTAAATTATGAATTAAATTATTCTAGTTCTTTTTGATATTTCATTCTGGTCAGAAGAACAACGAAGAAAACACATAAAACAGCGTCCAGATTTTGACGAAAATTAGCTCATGCAACGCTCATATAAAACGCATTCATAACACCTTAGATTTTTGACCAGATATGTATTGGTTTGAAAACTTCAACATGTTGTGAGCACGTAAACACATAAACTTTCAGATTTTATTTCCGATAATTTTCGACGCATTTGTACGCTTTTTTCATTATTCTTGTGACTACGATGAAATATCAAAAAATGCTAGAATGATTTAATTTAATTCATAATTTAATAAACTATCAATTGAGTGCAAATTATTAAATTTAAAATAAAAGAAATTTTGTACAATTTACATTTAAAATGAATTCAATCGCCTGATTTAAATCTATTTTAAATAAATAGGAAAATGATACTTCTATATAATAGACTTTACCAATGATGTAAAAATACCTTAAAAAGTGATTTGAATCTTGACGAACTCAACGAAAATATTGAAGATCAAACCAAAGGTCTTTATGTACAGGATAGGAGAAGCATCACGATTTCTCAAATAAAAGATACAGTGAAACCTTTCCACAAAAAACAATCTATTCATTCTTCTGTATGAGCAGCGATCAGATGAATTTTATCGATTGATACGATTGGTCCTTTTTTTTAAATTGTCTTGAAAATCAGCACCAGTAACACAATACTTCATGAAAAAGTATTAATGTCGACAAAATCGAGCTGATTTGACCTTATTTAAGAATCGTAGCCCGATTATAAATCAATCGGAGCAGTGATATGGTGGTGGTGGTGTGGGTATGCGTTTGACTGCAATGGGTGCTAGTGTGAATGTCGTCGTCTATTCACCAACACCCTCTAGACACCAGAGACCGTCACAGGGCAGTTTTTTATGCCATGGCCCTGCCATATACCCTGCTATGTCCTACACTGCCCTACATTCAGAGCAAGGCAGAACTGGTTAGAGTAAGAGCCCTAAATTGAGTATGATTGTTGTGAGATCTAAAGGTCTAATAAAAATAATGTTATCACTGTCAAACTTGGTATGTGATTACAACGAACCGCGTATCTGATAGCAGAAACGGCATGAAAACTCGAAAATAAATCTAATTTTAGTGGATATTTTTCTGATTAAAAATTGATTCAATCAAGCTATTCAATTTTTAACCGATTTTGATCACAATGCTGGTGAAACCCAATGTTCTGGAAATTTAAATCGATAACTCCAGTTGTTTTTTATTTTTCACCTTAACAAATGATAACTGTAATAATGAGCTAAGATCTAACATATATAATACTTCAAGGTACGATAATAAGTGATATTTACTTGTGTAGACAAAAATGCTGATAAATTTAATCTCTCCTTTTCCACAGAATAAAAAGTTATGGCCTTTTTTTTTTATAAAATATCATATCGTTCTTTCAAAAATGGTTCTCTATTACGGATTAGTTTTATGCTCACATTTACCTTTAGAATCGAAGATTTTCGAAGAACTTTTCTGTCATTCAAATAGTCATTTTTAGCAACTAAGTGACGCAGAGTACCAGGTTTTTCACTAGTAATTGAACATCAAATAATTATATTAAAATTCAACTACTAAAGTGGAATCAAATTTTTAAAATTTTTTATGGGCATCGGGCTAAATTTTCTTTTCCTGCCCTGCTCTATGACGGTCTCTGCTAGCCACACCCACATCATCTAGCATCTAATGACTTAACAATTAAGTTTTTTGAAACAATGACAATCAAAAAATATTATCATTATCAATATCGTACGAACATTTTTGCGTCTAAAATATGCATATTTTCTGAAATTTAACCTCTTATTCAATATAGGCTCACTTCATAACGTTGACCTTTATGGTGTAAAAACTAGACGATGTGGCAATTTATTTGATATCCGCCAAATTCTTCAAAGTCCGATTTTTTACCATTTTCGATCAAAAAGAAAATCGCACCGGTAGTTTTTACTGTTTCTATATATTAGCCCTGGTACCATATATAACCTTTTCCCAATTCTTTTTTCCTTAAGCTACCTTATCATACCAACAAAAAGAATATGAGTATCATAAATCCCAATGATAATCAAACCATTGCTGAACATGATGATCCCTATTTTTTCTATAAACAACCACCGCATACAGCTTTAAATGCATTCGATGCAAGCATAATCTTGTCCTACTACACTGTTTAACCTTATCGTTCACATCGACAAGTAACTGGCGGCATCGCTAATAGTAATTATTGTATTATTAGTGAAGATGAATCGTATTATTTTTGTAAGATATGCGATGACAAGACGAAAGAGGAGACATCGACACAATTAAAAGTTTTGATTGCCCTGCAGTTGTATGGATTACCGCTGGCATATCCTTTAAAACGTCAAAATAATCCAAATAATAGAGAAAAGAACAACACCATGGAACAAGCTAAGAATGATGATGATGTCTTCATTACAAATTATATACTTCATATAAACTCAATTGCACCACCGATTGTGATGTATGAATGGAAACACAGTCGTGCGGGAAAATTTACATCGGTTTCTTCTATCTCTTATACATCGTTAGGAACTGTACTTGCTCGAATACATTCGATTGATTATAGTGAGTTCTTATATTTACCACCCTTTCCGTTTGGTATGGCACAAATGTTACCATTGTTTTATGAAGAATTACATACACTCTCCAAATCCTTACAGCAACATTCATTTATCGCTGTGTTAGAAATGGAATTGCAGCGTATTTGTCAAAGCTTGTATAAAAAAGCACCATATGAAGTATATAAAGATCGTAATTATATTATGACAAAGGAAAATTATAAAGCGCGCTCAAAAAATCCAAGTGAGTCATTGCCTTCAGCGATTTTGCACGGAGATCTGTTTCTTGATAATTGATAATATATTGTTTCGAACGGATGGTGAATTGGATGCAATCGTTGATTGGGAATGCATCAGTGTTGGTGAGCGCCTCACATATGTTACCATGGTTATTGTAGACTGTTGTTATGACAACGCTGACACATTGTCGATTTCACGTGCAGCTGCATTTCTCTCTGCCTATCAGAAAATTCTGTCTTTAACTTCCTATGAACGCAAATATTTTGAAAAGTTTCTACGTTATTCAGTTTTATCAATCGCATGTTCTCGATGGTATCGTTTCAATGTACAATTTCCTTTGGATGATCGTTCTAATTCTTATTTGTCAATGCTCAGACGAATGAATGACATTGATTCAGAAGTTATTCTGCAACTTTTATTGTCGTAGTGTGAGTAGAGGTGTAAGCCGAAGGGTCAAACGGCGACGGCTCTTTTAATGGTCCAATTTTTTTCCATGGCGGCGGCGCCTACTAGACTATGCTTTTCTACATCGGCGACGGTGGCTTTGACAGCCAAAAAAAAACGTTTTTGCTCCTAAAAATGTTAGTGGCGGCGGCGCAACGGCTGAACTAACTTTTTCATAGCGGCGACGGCTAAAAAATTCGTAAAACTATCTCCGATTCCGTGGCGGCGGCGGCTGATTTTGGAAAAAAATCGGCGGTGACGGCGGCCGCAGCTGGATGGCTTACACCTCTAAGTGTGAGTGCGAACGTATCCTCTCAATTGCGAACATAAAATCGAATATTCAAAAATTGTTAAATTTGATTCAATTTTACTTCATTTTTTAATCAATTTGAATTATTCAGATTACACTCAATGAAGGCTTCAAATTTTCGTTTGTTAATTTATTAAAAATCTTTTCTTGAAAAATAATCCGAAAATTGAAATTTTCTGTTTATTTTGAACAAGCAAAATTTGTACAGCTCGCTCTTGTCTTCAATACAATTTTGTATTTTGTTAAGGAAGGTGTAGAGTTCGCTCGATATATGCTTGCGATATTTCAATCTATTCAGCTGCTATTGGTATAGTGCGCTAAACTACGTAGTTCTGTTCTTTTTCTTCTTAATTAACTGTCATATTTAGAGTTCGTGAGACAGAGTTTTCAGTATGAATGCCATAGGTCTTTTTTCGTATTGGAACACTATTCAGTTCGTATGATAATATGAATTGAAGCAGTCATTGTACAGCTGGGCAATTCAATTCAATTCAATTCATGCACCTAATTGAATTGAATTAAGGTTTTCTTTCAATGAATTGATCACTGTTTTGAGTTGAGTTGCCCAACTATAAGCCAGTGGAAATAAACTAATTGGAATCTACAAATATCTTTATGCGACAAGGAAAAATGTAGAAAAAGATGTGAAAAGAGAGAAGCTAAAATTTGAGCATCGGTATTCGACTTCTCTTCAAACACGCATGCGCCGACGCCGTTCTTTCAAAAAACATTGAATAAACTTTTTGAATTATGATAAGGGTGAGTGGGTGTAGGTAAATCTAAGACTCATATGCACACCCCACACCCAAAGGTGAACAAGTTGTTGACAGAATTAAAAATTTTTTTAAATCTAATTCCAGCATCGTAAATGTTAGGATAGATATGGAAATTATTTTTATTGTTGGTATGCTTAGTGCATAGAAACATTTCTAATAAGTGTCTTGATACAAGAGAAAAATTTCAAATTATTGGCATTTTATTTTTTTTTATAGAAATTTCAGTGTTTTTTCTTTTTTATTGTTAATAAATTATGCTGGATACAAAGAGACCAACAAGAGTATTAGATGATTTTCATAATGTTATGTTCAGTAACTTCGAATATTTTTGAAGATTTTGTTTTCTAGAATGAATTATTTATTTACAGAAGTATATCTATGCAATTTATAAACAATATTTCATCTGAATATTAGCCTAATCCTTTCGCGGTGATTCGATTTTTATAGAAAATTATAGTGCGACCCACCGGTGGGTCACATCACCGCGAAAGGGCTGATGTCGGATAACATGGCATTGAGATAAATTAATGTAATGATTGTTAATGTGAGTACGATTTTATTCACTTTATCTATTGATTATATTCAAATAACTATTTTTGAGAAAATGAATTACAATTGAAATATATCAAAATGATTTGATCAGATTCTGCAGTTAAAATTCTTTTATAAAACAAAAAGAATTTAGTACCGCCAACTGAATAATCAATGATTGAGAAGTAAATAATGTCTTTTTTTTACAGATTTCATTTTCAAATATAACGTGTTCTCTAGCTTTTCTGATTATTTTTTTGTTGCTTTTTATCTTAAAAAGCTACTTTCTTATGATCTAATAAAGAATGTTTTTTATGTGTATTTAAGATACTCTGTATATCATTAACATAAAGTTCTTTTTTTTTATCGAAAGCTATTGCATTTTTTCACTAGAATATTATGAGAATAAAATTCTGAATTTCGCCGAAATATGAAAGACACACAATCGTCGTTTGTCATTTATTGACAGACTAGGTAGATGATAATATCATCTTCTTATCAATGGTAATAACCAACTGTTTCTTTAGACAATGATATCTCTTATTCATCATTTGATTACTCATAAAAAAAGAGATTTGATAATAAAATTCATAGAAGAATCTTTATTTATTCCACGCTGACCATTGTTCAATTGTTTAGACTAAAAACCTTTTTATTCTATTCGATGGCAAAATTATACGAAAAATTACAGGTAAAACCCTTGTTAAGAGATATTTATTGAAATACAAATTCAACGAATCAAATTTTTTTAAAGATTTTTGCATTTTCTAGCACATATTTTTTTTAAACATTTAACAGTTGCAGAAAAAAACAAAAAATTCCATTTCATAAAGATAGAAAATAAAAACAATTACTTTTGCTTCTTAATAATTCAAAGATTTTAGTTGATTTTTTAAATTATTTTCTTGTAGAAGTTACTTACAAGCTATGAAGATTGGCCTAAAGATATTATAACAGAACAGACGTTGGACGAATCTGTGTTTCTTATTCGCGGCAACGATAGAGGAAGACCAGCATGGCATTATATCCTTGTTCCTATATACAAATGTGCTGATCTCAACGCTAATCCAGCAGGTTCAAATATTGATGTCACAAATTTTGGTAGCTTCATTAAATATCGAAATAATCGAGATGAAATTAAACAAATGTCTGGATGGGGAACTGATCCACCTAACATAATTCAAAAATGGATTGATACGCATTATAGTAAGAAGATGTCAATTTTTTAAAAATTAATATAAATAGTGAAGTAGATTGAATAATAAGAACAAAAAAATATCCTAGTGAAAGTTTTTTATATCCATTATATTTTTTTCAAGACTACGACTTGAAAAGATTTATTATTTGAATTATACGATGTTTCAACAATATCTTAATTAGTTAGTTATTATTTTAATGTGAAATTTTAGCACTATTGCTGTTATATTTACTAATCTAATTAAAATGACTTTTTGCACTTCAGTATTTCATACATTTAGACAAAGCTAATTCAAAAATTGAACAAAAATTTGAAATAGTATAATAAATAAAATTATACAATAAAAAAGTTTCCCATAGAACTTTATTTGATAGATCTCGAAGAACCTTTTCGTATGTTTGTGAACATAGACATTAACAAATCACTTAGTTAACTTAATAGTAAAACAATTGGTAGTTTTTTAAAAAGTAGACAACTGAATACACGGTAAGAAAATTTTTCTTTTCAAATCATTTCTTTTATATAGGTACTGCAGCTGTTGATGAAAGCATCAATTTAACTTACACAAATGATGACATTCGACTTTGTACGATGCAACGTGCCATACCAGAACAAAAAATAGGTGTTTCTTTGCATTACTTTGCATCTCAACTTTTCCATTATATCAAACTGACTGAGAATTTACCATCGAGCTTAGCTCATCGAGCAGGACTAAAATCCTATGATCGAATCATCTATTTTAATGGTGTCAATATTGAGAATGATACTTATGAACAGTTCGATCTTCTATTTGAAACCGCGCGGCATCTTCCAGTTCAAATGCTTGTCTGTAGTCCAGCAACTTATAGACACTACAAAACTAATAAAAAGCGATTTCATCTTGATCTTCCAACTATTCAACATGTAAAGCCAGTATATGCAACTTCAAGTAACAAACATAAATATAATTGTTCACTTACATTCTAATCATTATGTCAATTATCGATTTAATTGTAGCATCGGATTCTCATACATATGTACCAGCAGTTTCTGTTGACAATGCAAGTTTTTGTGCTGTCCGATGGGAAAATAATAACATTGTTTCAACAGTATCTCAATTAGCGGTTTTCCAATCACCTGAATTTACTCATGTAAAGGATATCTGTTATATCGAAATAAAAGGACAATATCGAAAAGGACAAATTATTGCTAAAGGTTTTTTTATGGATAAATATTGCTCAAAAAGAATTTCATTCATTTTCAGGTTCACAAAGTGATTGTAAGAAGTTAAACACACCTTTGTTTGCGTCAAAAACTGGCAATTTTTTCACCAATTCGACTAATTTGTTCCGTAGAAAAACACCAAATATTTCGAATTTAACTGCGAATCCAAGACCGAGTTGTACTAATGACAAGTCCATATCTGCATTAAATTGAACTATCACATTATCACAAAAATCCCATCAGGTATACCGTTCTATAAATGAGTTCGTTATTTCACAATAGTTCTATTTATTTATGCTAAATTCAACTAGTATAGCAATGATAAAACCCAATGCAATTTGAGTTTTTCTACTGTATATAATGAGCAATCGAAACAAGACATCATAACAGAATATTTATTTATTTTAGACTCTGAAACCCGATACAATACAGACTCGTGTAAATGTCCAGGATGCAAATGATAATAATAAAACGAGGCATCATACTGACGCTTCTCAGCACATTCAAGATTGTAAGTTACAACATGATGTCATTATCAGCAAAGAGATAATAAGGAAACATTCCAAGATGTTGAAAAACTTTTCAGTCGAGAGTTTGTGCATCCTGTAGACTTTGGTAAACTGTTTTCATGTTAGAAAACATTCGTAGTTATGGCTTGTTTTGTCAGTAAATCGAACGTTTCCAGTGAACGTACGCTGTAGGACCCGATATATGCAGTAAGATCGTATAGTCAAGTTTTTGACATTAAACTTTGATTTTGTAAAACCTTGCAGAGCTTTTGTGCAAACCGCTAATGAAAATGACCTTATATTGCAACCAAAATTCCAGGTCACAATTGGACTATGTGATCTTAGTGAAAATATCGGGTACTATAGCGCAAGTTCACTACCAACATTCGATCTCTTCAGAGAGAAGCCATAAACATGAAATTTTTCTATGGTATACATAGTTCATTGAGGTCTGAAAAATGTACAAACAGCCGACTGAAAAAGCTCTCTGACACTTGAGAATCTTCTCTTGTAAGACTCGTAAATAAAGGCTATGAAAAGATCTTCAACCGATAGATTTTGCTAAATTTTTTCCAGAATACAATATACAATTAAAGGTAGATGCCGCCTAAGATCATGATTCAAATAGTGTTTTGCAATGAAATGGTTCTTGTAAAGACACTTAAATCGAATCTTATCAACACACCACAGATACTTTCATAGCACCAGTGCCGTTTTCAAATTTCTGTTTTATATGAAAAAGTATAGCATTCATTTTCTTATATCAACAGCAACAAAAATAAAATAGATCATCTCAGATTCCATTAAGAAGCAAGTGAGTCATAACTCACTTGCTATCGTTTTGCTTCTAAAATTGGATCAACTTCACTAAGTGTATGTTCGCTAGTTACTGTTAGCATTGAAATAGAACGCAGTGTTGGTACTAAATGGCATAAATGCAGATACATACATGAAAGTTGTTTTCGTCAAAAACAATACAAGCTTACTTTTTTGATAATTCATTGTTTTCTCGATGTTATTATCTAGATAAGACTTTGAATTGTTGAAATCTTGTTAGTTCCCAGGCGGGATCTAGATATGAGATAACACTTGAGACTTGGACGAACCAATACACCAGATCGGATCTAGTGCCGAGAACCCGATAGAATGGCAGGACACTAGATTAAAACAGTATTGAGTATTGTATTACTCAAATACTATGATAATACCACCAAAAATTATTTGTAATGTAACATTCTAAGAAAATATTTTTCAATTCGTTTTTTTATAAATCATTTAAGATATATGTACTACACTCGCAGAACTTCCAAACGAATTATTTTACTATATATTCACTTTTATTGATATTCAACATTTATATAAAGCTTTTTGGGGACTTAATTCACGACTAAACAATATTTTTCAATCCTGTCAAAATTTATCTCTAATATTCGATAACAAAGTTGATCCATTATTAACGAAGTTATATGCACCCTACGTCACTCGTTTGATAATTCAAACATCCAACTATTGTGATTTTAAACAATTTCCTAATTTACACGAATTGATATTGTGTATTGAAAACTCAGAACAGCTTGCACAGATTCAACCTAGGATCATTCCCAATCTCACTTATCTATCGTTTTTGTTGGGATCTAAATTCACTTTGCCACTGGAATTGACTTGGGACGTATTCTCAAATGAATTTCCATCTCTTCGACATGTTAATTTGGGTTGTATCAATGTGTCTATCTGTGATTCATGGACTATGTCACCTTCTCTCCAGTTTGTGTCAATTCTTTCTTGTAAACCAATGTGTATTCCAGCCATTCTTGCTGCATGTCCTAACCTTCAACATCTTCAAGTTCGTGTTTTGTATAATGATAATAATGACATTCTCACTTCATCTTCACTACTCAATCATCCACTTCGACGACTAATTCTTTGGAGTGATTATGCCGACTTAACTTTGGATGTCATCGACAATATTCTTACTTATACACCAAACGTTGAATATTTCTATTTACAAACAATATATTCTATGTCGTTGATTGATTTATTTCATGGCCTAGTGAAACGACTTCATTATTTATCACGATTCGATTGTTATATTACAGAAATGTTAACAAAGAAGGATAGAATAAATAATTTAACTGATTTACATCAAATTCATCGTTGTTTTAATCGAATTCATTCTATAGAAGAAAATGATAAATTTCGAATTTTAGCTACCAAATAAATTTTTAATAATTAGTGAGAAACCTGTTTTGATAAGAAAACAGTTATTAACTTTCGCTAATCGTTTCATTAATCTAATATAAAGTTTTATTATGCGTTAATTATTATTCGAATAAATATTCCTCTGTTGAGTTGTCATTCACCTTTTTACTGGTCAAACTATGCATCTCGTGCATGGCTGCAGGTGTAGATGAAGAATTGACCATATATATAGAATGTACCTATTTGCCAGAGATGTCCATCCCGGCTGAGAACACACCGCTGCTGCACCGCAATGCTATCCAAACTGAAAGCCATCGCACCGCTGTCTATTAAAAAATAGCTTATCGCTGCCGCGTCACCACCTTGACGGTATTAAAAATATAGTCTAGAGAAACTCCTAGTCCCTAATATAAGAAAATATGCATTGTAAAATTTGTAGGAACTGTTACGTCAACTATTTGCATGATATAAAATAGGTGACCATGAGTAGTCTACTTAAGGAAGCATCCCTTAAAAATTTCTTTTTCAAGCATCCAATCTTGATGACATTTTCAGAGGAGGTGCATCTTGGGCTATGCACCTCACAGTAAAAATTTCAGCTCGATATATTGAATCTACGAAGAGCTAGCTTAAGCTTATGGGTCAAAATTTAGGTTTCCGTGCGTCCCAAATTTCTCCACCATTTTAAGCGCTAGAAAGTTCGGGCTGGTTTTAACATGTAGCCCAGGGTGGGTGTGGATGTGGGTATGGATGAAGAGAAGATTAACACCCACACCCACACGCACACCCTCCGACCTCGATTTAATTTCGTCAACCTTTATCAAAAATCATTATTTTCTTAAAAAAACCTTTCTTTTATGAAAATTGGCTTGAACCGATGATCATAGGTACGGTTACCGTAGTTGGACGGGTAACCATACTTACGGTCACCGGCTCGGACCGGTGAAACGGTGACAGTATGCCGGTGAATAATCGTTGCCGTTGCATCCCTATATACAATGCTCCTAGGACAGAAGAACAGTAATTGGTAAGAACGCCGCACTATACTGTGCCGAACATGACCATGAATCTTGCATGAACAAATATCAAACATGACCGACAAAAGTTGTCTACGACAAGGATTGTATACTGAGAAGGCTATTTATTCTGGTCCACTGATTAAAACTGAGATTTGCTTTTTGCTGGAAAATTACCTCAAAAGTGGGGTAAAATAATCTAATTGACTTACTTTCTTACGAGGAATACAAATATACCACAGATGTGGTTAAAACGAATACTATTACTTTTCATTGACGGATTTTATACTAGTTGGAAGAAATATAATTCATTAAGCTGCGCCTATTCTCTGCTGCTTCATTCTTGTCCGATGCAAAAAACTGGGTGGAAGTTTGTAGTTGTCTTTATGCTTTTCAGCTATGTATGTTGAAAAGGTTTAAAGTTTTTTCAATCACAGCAATGCATTGTGCGAGACTACAAAATGGAAATAGGATGAAACAGGATCAATGCAACTGTCTGTACGATTACTGATCTAGTAAGGAAAGATCATGAGTATGGTAACTAATTTGATCTCACTGTATAAGAACAATCATAATCTGTTTCAATCTCATCAGTGAAAGATACAGGCCAGCATATTATGTCATTGTACATGTATTTTTTTTACATACGGCTACTCTTTTTCTCATGTTCGGTGTCTTTCGTGAGGATCGATAAGATGAGATAAACAGAAGAGAAGCAAACTTCAACAGCTTTTTTTCTTATATAAGTTGACTTACTAAACAGCATCTTCTTGCTTTCTAACATCATAATACTCGTTTCGATACCAACAACAAAAATTGGCATCGTCGTTACAGCCGTGCGTGATCAACCAGTGTAAACGTCCATCTCACGCTCTGTTCATGTATTGTCAACAGTATATGTGCCGTGATCATTTGTAAGCACATGATGGTTTCTTGTGCCCAGCTCCTGCAATCGACCGAAAAAATCACTGCATTCTTAGATCAACTCATCAAAGATGGTGTGAGTTTGGGTAAGTTTATGTAGGGTACTATGATACCCACACCCCACCCTGAAATCTAGACTTTTTCTGAAAAAGTCATCAAACATGTTTTATGAATACATCAATGTTCTTTACATGTAGTTATGTATGACTCTCTCAAGAAAGAGCAAGTCGCACAAAATATCAAACCTTCTTCTTGCTCAACTTCAGCAATCTTGACTCATATCAAAATATTCATTGTAATCTTGAGAAAAAAAATTAACTTGTACATGTCATCATTAATTATGACCATTGAATACTCGAAAACGTTCTTCTTTTCTAGTTATTTCGAGATTTGCATTCGGGGAAAGTTTTAGTTTATTAATTGAGAAGCTTTTTCCTATGATTTACTTCTTAGGTGTCAAGATGACAAAAATTTGAAAGCAATATACGATATTCGGCAAATGATAAGTCAAACTGAAGTTAATTGTACAATTGTGAACGATTCGTTTGCTGATTCAAAGGATGATATTTTGTGATCTACTGGTATTCATCATCGATTATAGTTCAGACAAAAACAATTTACACTGATTCATTATGGAATTTCTATTTTCATATTCGAACTATCCCATAAATAATGTATACTTATAATGTGAGATAATTCGAAACTATTTTCATAATAAATCCTCGAAATATTGAGCGAGATTTTTGTATAATTAACGTTGATCTCAAATGTTGATGAAATTTTAGACTTAACTGATGTCACAACAGTTGAATGTTTTTCTTATGAGTCATTCTATGTAGATCACGATCGATCCAAAGATCGAGTGCTGAATCGAAGGTGGTAGGTTTTATTCACTTAAAGATATATGATAAAGACAAGTGCTTTATGAATTTTGCCACAAGTCGTTTCAAAAGATATTGAAATTTTGAAGCTACCTGAAATCGTGATTTATTCCTCTAGAAGCGAAATCCATAGAATGCAAATCGTTGAGTCGATTCAAGTAAAAAAATTTTATTTTAAGTATAACATGCTTATGTGTATCCAATTAAAATTTTAGTTCGATTGGTCAAGCCGTCCGTGAGATATTCAGTCTACCATGTACTTTGTATTCTCCGCTTTCAGAAAAAAATCGATGATTTAACATTTTTTTAAAACAATTTGCGTGGAAATTCATAAAATTATTTGTTTGCAAAGTCCTAACAGGCCACTTGATCTGTCTATTTTTTCTTTGATATGCGATTTTTATTTCAGCCATTGAATTTATTCTTAGAAAACAGGCTCAATTGAGTTGGTTTCCCCAGTGACTAATGAATAAGACGTATTAGTTAAGGGATCGACTTCTTCAAAAAATTCGTCTTTCTTTCTATACGAAACTGTGGGACAAGATTTTCAAAAGTGATTGCTGCTAGAATTATCCATATTGCACTTGTTTTACGCTGTGATTAGGTCGTTTGAAATAGTCGATAACTCTTCGATACATATCATATTCGACTCTTGATGATAGTCAGGTCTATTGAAGTAGCATTATGTGAATAGTTGATTAGGCTAGTTTTCATACATTTCTGCAGAGATTTTTATGCAGTATAAAATGCTACAAAAACATCGAACAAAAAACATTAACTACAGAAAATTGTCCAAAGAATATTGCTTCTACGACATGATTTTGAGTGTTTCTCACTGCTATTTTGTAGGTTTCGATCAGAAAACGTACGAATTGGATAAAAATCAAAATCATTATATGAAACAGTATTTTACATTGATCAGGTTCATGAGAATATTAATTACTCTTGTCAAAAAATCCACCGCTAATTTTACTCAGGATTGTGTCGAAAAAAAATTTCATCAAAATAGTAAATTGATGGTTTCGGCATATATTCTATTTTGTGTTCTTATATCATTGTACAGGATTAGAACTTTTCCACATTGATGAAACTATTGTTGAATGTGATTTGGTTTTTGATTTAACCCTGAGTGAGACGATGGATGAGTTTTTCGACGAAAGGTAGACTAAAATATTTAAAAATTTACATAAACCTAGTGGATGTTCAACACTGATTCATAAGATAATTTTGTTTTTTATCCAAATTGTATTTCTAATCAAAATCTACAGAATACCAGGCAAAAAGAATCAAAAGTGTGTCTCTAAAAAAATATTACGATTTCATCAATTATCGATTTCTACTTTCCATGTTTGTTATAATTTTTTTCCAGTTGGAGTATGGATGTGAGTGTGGTGGTGGGTGTGGGTTCGAGTCTTTGCTTGGCCCACACCCTAAGATCATCTGTATAAACGCTTTATACTAAAAAGGATAATTTTATTTCTTTGAAAGAAACAAAAATAATTTTGTGATAAATATCAAGCGACAGATAGACAGACAGACAACGCTGATGAATAAATTATGTTAAATATAGATATATTATCTATTTTTCAATAACTTGTAAATCTCCTCTGGTGTTTCTATTAGTAGCTATTGAATGAGGCTGAACTTGATTATTTATGAATAATTGACATGAAAAAAACATTTTTGCTTCGTGTCTAAATGATTTAGATGATGCAAAAAAGACAAAAAATGGACATGCAAATGTTATGTAAAAAATAAGTGGAAAAATGTTTGCAAATAAATTTTCAATATTTTTTTTATCTTGGGATTTAATCATAGTTGTAGTAAGCAAAGTATATTCTGTAAATGCAATATATGGTAATATTGTAAAAAATAATATTGGAATTTGCATAAGCATCATTGATGTTAATTGTTTTTGAACTAATTGACGTTGACGACTTATTTGTAATTTATTTGTATTTTTATATGTCATTATACCTATTATTACAAGAATTAAACTTGGAAATAAGCCAGTATAAATCGGAAGTGTAACATATATTCGATAATTAGTAAATTCTTTATTTGGAATAAATGAACAAGATATTAAACCTGTAGTTAAACTTGGTAAAAGATTTGCATAAACTAAATAAGGAACAGAATGACTCAACCAAAAAATACTTATTATAATAACAGCTAATCTAGCTGTTGATAATTTACTT